GAGAGAGAGAGAGAGAGAGAGAGAGAGAGAGAGAGAGAGACATCAATGATGAGAGAAAATCACTGATTGGCTGCCTCCTACACGCCCCTACTAGGGATGGGGCCCACAACTTGGGCATGTGCCCTTGATGGGAATCAAACCTAGGACCTTTCAGTCCCCAGGTCGACACTCTATCCACTGAGTCAAACTGGCTAGGGCTGAGAACAGTTTTCAAAATTAATTTCATGGGCTGTTAATAAGTGTGGTCTAAAAAAAATTATGTGCTTAGAAAACATTGAATTAGTTAACTTTAAACAAAATTCACCACTAAAATACTTGTTAGTGCCTTTTATATGCTAATGTGCAATGTGAATCTCTGGGCAGAGCTGTGTAAATATAATATATAAAAGCATTTTCCACACTTCCGTAACTTATTTGATTTTTCCTCCGCAAGTCCTACTTTAGTCCTACTAGAGCATAAGTTTTAAGCCACTCAATTTGTGGTACTTAGTTATGGTTGCCGTAGGACATTAATATACCTAGATGTGAATTTTAGCTCTGTCACTTAGTAGCTCTGTGAATTATTTAAACATTATCTTCCTGATACTTTAAGGACACTTACCTTTCTGTGATTGTTTCTCTGAGGCCACTGGCCACCCCTTTGACCACAGTGCTAGCTTTGGGCGTCAGCACCACCTGAGATATAAAAAACGAGCCCTTCTTTCTTCTCTCAGTGATGGACGCCTGAAGGAACTGAATCAGTTTTTCCGGGTCTGTGGTGTTGGCCCAGGGTGCTGGCATCATCTGCCCAGGCCAGAGGAAGGGCACCTCCAGAGCCACGGGACTGTGGTAGAAGACCAGCACCTGGTAGTCCTTCTCCCACAGGTACTTTAGACTCACTTCCTGTGCAAAAATTGCTGGGCACATTTTATTTCCATAGATGTCTTTCAGCATCTGGACCAATTTTTCATGGTGATATTTCTGCATTCCATAAAAATGATTGAAGTCCAAGAACACGACCTCCTTACGGTGATCTGTGAGGAATGCATTGATCTCCTCAAGGCCCTCATTGACTTTGGCACTGAACAAACCATGAGCAAAATAGAGTTCATTGTCGGGGTCTCTGGGCTTGGTGGAAATTCGAAGATCAAAATAACGGATCCCAGCTCCTAGCTGACCAGTAAAGTTCATCGTTTGCGTGGCTAACCATTTCCGCATCAGCTTTTTGGCCACAGTTCCAAAAACAGAGACAAAATTCTGGACAGTTTCTGGCTGTTCAGGCCCTACTGGAGAGGCTTCGTCGATGTAGAAGCTGAAAGAATCGTGAGATCCTAGAAGAACAACAAGGCACAATGTGGTTACATTTCAGTCCTTTGTCCTCCCCAACCTCTTTCCCTCTTGCAATGTCTATAACTCTCCCTCAAATGAGCCAAAGGAAGCACTAAGCAATATTACCAAGTTCATTCTCATGCCTCAGGGAGGTTTTTTTTACAGCCTAGTATAATAACAGAGCAGATTGGTTCTGAAGTGATAAAACAATTCCTTCTGATCAACATTTTCAAATTCAAATCATCATCTTCTACTTCTGTCAACAAAGAACTTAATGTATTCATTAGGATTGGTTTTCCATATAGTGACCATTCAAAAATAGGACTTATGGGGACCTACCAGTTCCCAAATACTTTGTCTATGATGTTACCCCTGTTCTTCATTTTGGGTTGATTTGAAGCCCAGAAGTCTTGTTTCAATGAATAAAGAAGCTCTGCTTATTTCAATGAATAAAGAAGCCCTTTCCACCAGCAGATGGTCAGTGTAAGCATGGCAACCTCATACCCTTTGGAAAACACAAGAGGTCAAAGGGTAGAAGAAAGGAGAAATAAGGCAAGAGGACAGTGCAATGCTGACATGTTTAACATCATTTCTGACCCTGCATTTGGGCAACTATCATCTTAGATAAGGTTGCAAGTTACCACAACTGAGCAAAAATTAACTAAGAAGCCATTTTCTTCAGATACTTCCTCTTAACAGCAAAGTCTCTTTTGGGAGCTGGCTTCCCAATTTAAAAGAATTTCTTTCTAGGAAGAACAAAGGACAACCTATTTATTTATTTCTAGCAGAAATAAATAACTCTGGAGATGTAGCAACTAATGTATGATTTGCCTGTAAGTACAGAGAACCACTTAAAATATTGTTGGACCCAATAAAGAAAAATTATTTCAAGTCATAATTTTATTTTTAAAGACACCTTTAATTCTTGGGCGTGACCTACTAACTAGGTAAAATGAATGTATCCTGGATTTTTCACACATTAGCAGACGTCATCATTCCCCATCTGTTCCTTATGCTTCCTCACACCTTGTGGCCCACTCCTGATCTATATTCCTTAAGGCACACCTTCTCCTAGGTCATTACTCCCACCACCCAAACACACATACGCACACATACACACACACACATGCACACTCATGGCCCTCTAAATTTATCATCTATCACCTTATGGCTTTTGTCTGATAAGCTATTTGAAGTGATTTTTTCAATGATGCAATATTACCTTTGATTTTATTCCACATATATGTTAATTTATATCTATATCTATATATGTATATATCTATGTCTAGCATTAAATGGTCCATAGAAATCATAAGAATATGGATTTCAGGCACCATGGTAGGTTGATTAGAGAAAATATTTTGAAAAATACTTTGATGCCTTGCCAATCATAACCTTTAAGATTTGGAACAGATAACTCCTTGGAATTATAAGATTTTTTCCAAATAATGAAAGGTAACCCCCAAATACAGAAATGTCATGTTTAATTTAATCTGGAACTGTCTGATACAGTTATCTTTAGTAGATGGTATGGGGAGAAAATGTCAGCACTTTCTAAGTATGCAAAACTGACAGCTTGAATCTGGTATTGGCAAATTTTAATAGGGATTGAAATTGCTATATATTGATTAATATTTGCTATTCAGTTATTTGCTAATATCAATTGAGAAACTAAATCTGTACTATGGCTGAATATAAAAGAGAGTCTGTGTAAAGAAAGGAATACAAAGGTGAGTTTAAGAAGTGTTATAATTAAATAATCTAGGTATAAATAAATAAATGAACACTCAATATAAGAGCTAAATTTAAGTTAATTTCCAGGTATATGAAAAAGGGTGGATGAGAGTAATTGGTTCCTTTTGTAATCTAATATAAGACATCACTGGAAGCAAGTAGAAATGGAATTAAATATAACTAGATTCCTTTTTCCAGAAATGAGTGGGTTTTTGTTTCAATATGACTTTAATCTCTACATTCTATCATATGGCTATATGCCAATTTTTTCAAAGCCTAGGAAATTCCTCACACCTTTGAAAATCCTGTAAAAGGATATTATAGTTTCTAAATTAAATTACTTGTTGACACTTAAGGAACATGTGTTATTAAGGTCAAAATAAGGTAGTGTCAAAATAAAGATTAAAAATAACTAATGGTCAGGAGAAGACATTGGTACCCCATCAATATTTGTTCTAAGCTAGATGACCCTGAGGTGCATGTACAGCATTTAGGGCAGAATTATGTACCCAGATACAAAGAGTATTTGGAGAGGAAAATTAAATCATCAATCAATACAAAACACTATGCATTTTAGGACAAAAAACGTATCTAATGTTGGCCCAAAAAGTACTATTTTCATGACTTTTAATTTCATTCGGAATAGTACTTTCTCCCTAATTTCATCATTTTTACTAAACCATTAAATTTTCTATTTGAACTTAAAACAAAAATACAGCAGTACTTTATGACCTTTTAATAACAGAGAGAAAAAGTCTGGCCCAGTCCTGTGTCCTTAAAACCACGGAGCCCTGACCACCAGCAAGACAGTGCCTAAGCATCATTTTTACTGTTCTTAGCTACATCCACAACCTCTCTGATTATCTGGACTAATATTTTGCTTCTACACTGGTTGAGTATTACTGGGCTTCTGACCTCTTATCCTTCTTTTGTCTATAGCCCCAAAGGCATACCTTGGACCTGCTATTTAATGATGTTCCTCTGATTCTGAACTGAGCCTCTCAACTTTGAGCTTGATTTGCACCTCTACTCAGAATAGAGCCGACCACTCCCATTGTGAACCCAGCCAACAAGTTCATTTGTTTTGGCTCTGAATGAGTGAATGGAATGGAAAAGGTTCTTTTCTTTCATTTCTTAGAAACAGGCACTTTTATTTTTTCTAAGTATGCTAGATTTTTCCCTCACTGAGGCAATAGGCAAGCATCTAAGATGGACCCCAACAATCCTGCCTCCTGGCATTCACATCCCTCCCGGAGTGTGGGCCCAATCTAGTGACTTGCTTCTAATGAATTAAGTAACACCAACACAACGGGACACCATTTCTGAGATTAAATAACAAATGATTGTGACCTCCATCTTGCTACTCTCTGCCTTGCTGTTTTTTGTTTTGTTTTGTTTTGTTTTTGTGGGAGAGGGAAAGACAAAGAGAAATATCGATATGAGAGAAACACATATCACATTGATTGATTGCCTTCTGCACGTACCCTGACTAGGGCCCAGGCTGGGGAGGAGCCTGCAACTAAGGTAAGTACCCTTGAACAGGAATCCAACTGGGACCCTTTGGTCCGCAGGCTTATGCTCTATCCACTGAGCCAAACTGGCTAAGGCTGCCTTGCTGGCTTTGACAAAGCAAAGCGCCATGTTGGCGAGGCCCATGTAGCAAAGAACTGGGAATGGCCTCCCGCCACCAGCAAGCTAGGAACTGAGGCTTTCAGTCCAACAGGCCCATTCCAGATCACGCTGAAAATAAATGAAATCCACTCTTGGTTTTTAACTGTCATGGAGGAGAGAAGTACCCAAATTATGGACACAGTATTAATTCTCAAATCACTTTTTTAAAAGACTTGGGAAACATTTTATTTACTTTTCCACATTACCAATCACTGATATGAGTAGCTAAATCTTATATCTCCTCGGGAAAGCATAGCACAGTTGAGTGTCTATTACATCCCAGGTCAATCTTAGGTCACAGCATTGAGAGCTACTGGCTTTGGTCCCACAGCCGTCTTTGAAATGACCTATCAAATCACTTTTATTTGGTTTGGAAGTCAATCAGTTTTTTCTAATTGTAAACACATAGTGTTGAATCTGACAGGGAAAAAAAACTTTAAAATTAATTACTTAGTTCTTATGTGACAATATACAATTAATCTCATTAATTTTTGTTTACCCCACTGACTAAACTGATCAACTTTTTGGATTTTTTTGGAGACAAAGACCAAACCTTATTCCTGGTATATAATCGTGCCTCAGTCTCCAGGGCATGACCAGGACTTTGTGGACAATATAAGAAATTTTGAGGCCCTCGCCGGTTTGGCTCAGTGGCTAGAGTGTCGGCCTGTGGACTGAAGGGTCCCAGGTTCGATTCTGGCCAAGGGCACATGCCTGGGTTGTGGGCTCAATCCCCAGTAGGGGGCATGCAGGAGGCAGCCAATCAATGATTCTCTCTCATCACTGATGTTTCTATCTCTCTATTCCTCTCCCTTCTTCTCTAAAATCAATAAAAAATTTTTTTTAAAAAAAGAAATTTAAAAAAAGGAAATTTTGTGTCATCAGAGAAAATGCGAACTTTAAAAAAAGGAAATTTTGTGTCATCAGAGAAAATGCATGCAATGAACCACAAGCCAAAACTCTTCTAGAATTGAACAGAACACTAAAAACCACACACTTGTAATCTATTGTGATACTTCTCTTGACATAAAGAACATGTAGAAAGTACATTTTCAAATATTAAATAATCCCAATATATTTCACTATATTGGAGCACTGAGATGAATCCTTTTGTAAAGAAAAAATCAAAATAGTCATGCTGTGGTTTCTCTTTGGGCAAATCTGTGTCTTTCATATTGTGAATAGCCTTCTCCCTCAGCCCATCTCAGAGGCAGTGAGAGGAAGGAAAGCAGGTTGGTTTCCTTGCTTAAGTCTTTTGATCAGGGATCCCAGAGGCTAAATTTGAGAAGCCTCATTCCATCGATGCCTCCCAGGGGTAGAGAAGCTCAATATTCACCATAATTTCTTTAAATTTCCTGGGTGGATTCCTTAGGCCAATGGATAAGCTGGCAGTGAATAGTTTAAGAGCAGCGGTGGGTGTTCCCATCAAGGAGGGCAGAAGAGAACTCGCTCCAAGGGCCACCCTTTTGAAACTATTAAGCCTTCTTTTCACATGAAATTCTTTTCAAGGATGATCAATATGCATGCCAGAAAAAAATAATTAAAAGAGACCCCAAGAAATGGAGCAGTCCTAAATGACTATCTAAACCAGCTCACT